TATAGGTTTCGGCTTCAATCTCAATCTCGTACCCAGAGCAATGCCTGTACGCGGGCTAGGATGGCATTGGCTCTGGGGAAATTGAATTTTTCCTGTGTTGTGATTGGTTTAAACGTTCATCATAGTTTTCCAGTTTAAAAGTTTATTTATTTTAAAACAGTTTTTAATAAATTATTATATTAAGTTCAGTATCTCAAATTCTTGAAAAACTTATAAAAATAATAAGACGTTATATAAACAAACTGATATGCGGTGAATATAGCCAGTATAAATAAAAAATTTCATAAATTTTAAACCATACCTTTTCTGATTCAAGCCCGACGTATTCAATCATTTCAATGTCAGAAAACTGTATTATTGTACCATGAAATTATATGATTTCCAAACATAAATATTACGCTGGAGTCTGCAGTCTGCACTCCCCGTGTTTAAGAGGTGGGGCTTTTGAGCATGCTCACAACAACCGGAACCCCAGAATTTAGGGGTTCCAGCTTTCAATTTCCCCAGAGCCAATGCCATCCTAGCCCGCGTACAGGCATTGCTCTGGGTACGAGATTGCTTCAATCTCCAATTTCCGATAGCCACAAAATAGAATATTAATGAGCTGCTTGATCCTTCAAAATGGCGCGGACTTTCGTGGAGTGGGCAAAATGTTTTCAACAATTCCGTGAAAATTTTGAACCAATTGTACCTGTTTTCTATCGATTTTGGATTGTGTGTAACTGTGGACATTCCTGCTAGTTTATTTAATGCGTTTTACTTGGTGCACGGCTCTGAAAATCCGAAATTTGGATCGTGGAATTCCCGTGCACGATCATAATTTAATACTGAATCTGAATATAAACGAGCCAAAGACAATTTCAAGGTAAAAGGTTATAACTTAAACTGCACAACGTAGTTTTAATCAATAGGCTACTTTATGAGAAGCATATTCGTGTCATATCGATATGAATTTTATCGAACAGTCCGTGAAAATTGCAGTGTACTCAGTGTGAAATATGATATTGTATTTGTATAAATGCCTATTACAGTAATGGCGCAATAGCCAATAAGGATAAAAATACCACCGTTCGATTCAGCATAAGAAATTGCACTTACGGATGCCAAATGTATCACTAAACAACAGTATTCTAACGATTTATGGACTTTGAAAATCAAGCGACATTTTTATTGTTGACAAATTTAATACTCGCCGTTTGACCTTGTATTTGTAATACTAGTAATAAGTAATGGCGGATAAAAATATAAGAAATTGTACTCGACGTAAGAAATTGTACTTATATGTGAATGAGAAATTGTACCTACGGGTTTCAACTGTATTACTAAACAACTGACAACACTATTTACAGTATTCTAGCGATTTATGGCGTTTGTCTTTGAAAGCCAAGCGAAATTGTATTATTTGTTGACAAACTGCTCAAATTATAAAATATTATATAAAATGCAATATGTTTGATCCTTGATAACTTTGGTATCGTTGGTTTTCTCTTGTTCGGCCGTATGCCAGTGGATTCGTCTAACTTCTCTCTTCATTTTGATAATATTTCGAGCCCAAAAGCCCAAAAATATTTTAGTTTGGACGTTTTAAACTAGCGGCCAACAGAAGAATGTAGCGTTCTACAAAATACAACCTTTAATACTTGTGGGCCATAAACGCCGGAAGTTTTATTTGTACTTGTAGCACAGAATACTGAGAATAGCTTGTAGGGTACCGCATTTTAGTGTGTTAAGCTTTCGCACTCGTATTCGACTTTTCCGCTTAGCTCGGGGTCAGGCTTAGATCTTGATAGACCTTTCCCCTTTTCAGTGAAATTTTGATCTACATAGATTAGCCTGGACAAAAATTTCATCACAGCTTGGAAGAGCATTGCAGAATTAGTAATATTCCGACGTTTCGTTGCAAAAAGTTGTAAAATGCGGAAAATATAGCCTGGCAAGCTTGCCGTTTTCAGTCATTTTGCAGTACAAACGGAAAATTGATAATCAGATAATGAAACTGATGGTCAATTTCCCATTTGTAATACAAAATGACTGAAAAACGGCAAACTTCGCATTGTTATATTATCCGCATTTTAAATATGACTAATTTTGACATGCTTTTTCAAGCTGCAGGCGCAGAATAACGTACACAGAAGGGCGACTTCTTTGTTTTTCCTATGATCTTGGCGTAACCGTAATTCGTCATCAAATGCTGACGTCATCAAATGCAGACGCCATTCACCCCCCTGATAATATTCAAAATGGCGGACGTCCAGGGGGGAATGCCTCTCAAACCCGCACTGGCTAGGATCATGGCGTCAGCATTTTGATGATGAATCATGGCGTGGCAGCGGTTACTCGAGTCGACCTTCTGTGTGCATTATTCTTTGCTGCAGGGACGCCGAGAGCTTGGCGGGGCCCCGGGGCAAATTTTTCTTAGGGGACCGTATTCAAAAAAATTTCCGGACGAGTACGTTGTAAATGCTTTTGTGGGAAATTACTGCAAATTTTTCATACCAAATTTCGGTTCCTCGCCCGAAAAAAACAGATATTGTGACCCAAAAACGGAAATATTTCGCGCAAAAAAATGACTGGTGCCCACCAAAAAATTTCTAGGGACCCCCAGAACATCGTGGCCCAGGGCAATTTGCCCCCCCCCCCCTCTCGGCGGCCCTGTCAAGCTGTGATGAAATTTCTGTCCACGCTAGTCTGGATAAAAATTTCACTTAGAAGAGGAAAGGTCTATAGAAATATCTGTGTACTGTATCTGGCATCATATAAAGTAATGTGCGTATATTTGTACAGCCCCAGCGAGTTAACGCTCAATAGAGCGTCTTGTTGTTAAATAATTAGTACGCAAAGTATGTCACCAAAGTTGCTCAAACGTGTAAATATTTTTCAAAATTAATCATATTTTTTATTTTTTTAGATCACTTACGAAAAACACGATAACCAGTGAAGAATGGAAATTAATAAACAACTTTTTTAAAATTATTAATTAAATAATGATTGGGGGATTAGATAGGGGCATACATACTAAATGAAATGTTATACTAAATGAAAGGTTATACTAAATAAAATTCGTTATACATTGAACCCGCGTGTTCCGTTTTTCTCTGATACTATTTAACCAAGAAACGTAAATTTTAGAGTATTTATCTACATTATACCTAAAAAATTCAAAGTAGACCAAAGTATCCAATCAGAAAGCTAAGTTAGTACCACATAAGCATAAAATTTATCATCGAATCATGTCTTATACGTCATCGTATATTTGACGCAGCGAGTGTTTCAATCATATCACCCATGTGATATAATACGCGACAAAATAAATGCTAAAAGAGCGAGTTTTCAAAAAGCTAGTTTTTATTGAAAATTTTGAAGAAAGTTTTTAAAACTATTGCAATCAATAATTCTTGATTTGGTGTGACGCAAGTAGATAAGAGGGATTTGCTTGAATAGTAAATTGATTGCGCTTGTTTTCCGACAAGAGGAAGACTATTCCAGATTTTGTCCCTTTTTGTTTACAAATTCTTTTTTAGGTCGTTTTGCCAGGGCTAAATCAGTGTGACCATTTTGAAGGTCATAATAAGTTTAAATAAGGCTTTCCCTGGTCAATGATTCTTCAAGTTCTGTCCATGCAGTGTAATCATTCAAGATTTTATACAACAGTATTTTGTACATCATCTTTGATTGTCGATTTGGTTGTGCATGTCTCGCTGTTTTGTCTGGATCAGAGTAAAGATTAGGGTCATCATCGATAAACAGCTAGACATTAATCTATAACCTGCCTTCGTTCAATAATCACCGCTGATTCTAATCTCTGCATGCGCAAGATAATGCGCAGGCGGGCAAAAATTGTCAAATACACCTTTATGGTCGTATTCGTTCTCTTTTTCAAACTCTACTGATGAAGATACAAGGCTGGAGTGTCGAAACGTCTGCATGGACTTTGCATTTATTTTAAAATACGGGAGTAGCGAGCAAGAACATGACTGCAGGGTTTTCTTCAGGGATTTTTTAGGGCTTCAAAAACTCAATCTTGAATTGAGTTTTGAAACTCAATATTCTCACCAAAAGTTTCGGTGCAGTAAAAATGAAGTTGTTTGAGTTAAATTCGTGACGTGTGGAAATTACGCTCACTCTCAAAACTCCATACTGCAAGTCAAGTACTTCCCAAGCATCCTACTTCAACCGCATTGTTAAAATATGGAACTACGCCTGTAAAATTCTTCCTCCAACCAGCTTCGCCAGCCTTCCCTCTTTTAAAAGAAACATTAAAGACACGTACAAACACTGTTTAGACGCAAAATTTGACATGGACATGTCATGCACGTGGACATTGGTGCCTGATTGCTGTTGCCGCAATTTCTAATTTAAATACTGTACTGTTAATTTCTTGTCAGTCTTTGAACATTGACATTGTAATGTAGAGTCTGTTATATGTTGCATTGTGACGGTGAGCACCTTGCATGTGACTTTGTATCTCGTTCGTGCTTTAATTTGGCCGTTTGGGTCTTCTACAAATTGCATGTGCTTATGTTGTCATGTAGTTGAGGTTTTGTTTGTCAGTTGTTGTATTTGTTCTTGTGAGTGTTTGTCATATCGTGTTTAGACTTTTAATAGTAGATTTTGTAGAATACTCAATAAAATCAAAAAAAAAATTTCAGTTGGAAACCCGACAATTAAGAAAAAATGGCTGGAATCCATTTCAAAACACAAGAAAAACTACGCATTCGCCATATTTGACCAGTTTATAGTGTCCCTTAAGGCCGTTTTCCACTTCAAGCGTAAGGTACCATAACGTATCAAAACAAATTTTAAATTTCAAAATTTAGTAAATGTTGATTGGCTAATACTTCCGTAGTATGCTAAAAAGTTGACTTGCGACGAACTTTTTATTTTGATACGCGAATCAACCGGTTGAAAACCCATCTTCAAGATGCCCATGCTCACCGGTACGTTACGGTACGATACGGGCGAAGTGGAAAACGGCCTTAAGTGTCCCTGCTTTAACACATTGCGTCTCAATTTTTTTTTATTATTTTTTTCCCCTATGTACAGATATTAATAATTACAAAACAACTTTTTTCTAATGATATTGGGCTAGGGACCTACTAGAAACCTTTACAGGCTTTTTGGTTTAGGCCCCTAGTTGTAGTTGTGGTTCATAATGAGGTTAATTAATATATTTACAGTTAAAGATAATGAAAAAAGTAATTTTTAGAATATATGCTATTTACAAAAGAAGGATGATAAAGCAGGAGTACTAAATAAAAGATTTATGTTAAAATATCAATAAAATCTGAAGACCGTATAATTTTATACATGATTCAGTAAAAAATACTGTTTCATTTCTTTCTTGAAGACATTATAGGAGTTTGTGCCTTTAAATTTTGGTTCTAATGAGTTCCAAATATCAATTCCTTCCTTTACTAGATAGACTGTGTTTTACATAGTTTGTTCTCTTATAACACTT